CTTATTGGTACATGAATGTATAAATAATACTCTCATACCCATGAATCATACTCCTAATCAACCATCTTCTACCCAAATTCGAAATTAAAAACTAGGGTATGAAACCTTACCTCTTAGATGAAGAACTTTTGGGTTTTCCTTGTTAATCTTCCAAGGTTTGAGCAAGACTTGATGAATAATTAGCCTAGGGTTTTCTCTCTCTCTAAAACACTCTCCCTTCTCTCTAAAACATCAGAATATTTGCTCAAAAATGACCCTTTGCGTGTATTTAACGAAGTAGGGTCGGATTTTAAAAACCCTAAAATGAAGCTTCGGAACAGGTTTTGCGGTAGCATATGCGATCGCATAATAGTTATGCGGACCGCATATCGGTCGCATAATTGGTGTCCAAAATGACCAAAAATCTGCCTGAGTTTGCGGTCACTATGCGGTCGCCTACTATACCGCATAACAGTTATGCGATCGCATAGTCGACCGCATAATTGCTTCCAACTGACCCAATTAACTACCTCACTCTGCGGGCATTATACGGTCCGCAGAGTGATTCTGCGGTTGCATAATGGACCGCAAAAATGCACATTTCTGCCAAAAATGTTTCCTTTACTTTTCTGTATATTATTCAACCCAAAAGGTCCGAGCCGCGGCTCGCAAGCTCGCCACAAAGAATTTCTATAATCCTCAAACATGTAAGCCTAGTCCGGCACCATGAAACATTATTTTCTTTGCAAATTTTTCCGGGCTTTACACTTAAGTTCTTCAAATTTTTTTCGGGGTGTTACAATTACGATTCGTGATTTGGGGGCCGTGATTTGTGATTACGAGGTAAGGTACCTCGGGATGATTCTTGTCTAAACCTTGTGGTAGAACGGTTGATTATTTGGTTGTCATTTGTGTTCCTTATCTGGTTTCACTAGTACTTTAACCATGTTCTGATTACCTGCGGCATTATCACCTTTTTTCTTCTTGTTGTTGTTTGTTGCTTCTACTTTTCGTTTGCTAGTGTTATATTGTTATTCTTTCCATGTTTAGCCTTATATTGGTATTCGTTCCTCTGTTAGCTTTATATTAGTACTTGCACACGTTATTATGTCTAGTAGGTGTCTTGACTATACCTCATCACTACTCCATTGAGGTTAGTCTTGATACTTACTGGGTACTGCTGTGGTATACTCATGCTACACTTCTGCACATCTTTTGTGGAGATCCAAGTAGCTAGGAGCGTGCCGGTTGTTAGATAGCTGATTGTGATCGAGTTGCTGCGTAGACTTCAGGTTATACCTACCATCGTGTTCGCATACCTCAGAGTCACCTTCTGTGGTCTTTCATTTCTACTATTTATTTCTATTCCAGAACAGTATTATATTTAGAGATTTCTAGTAAACTCGGTAGAGCTTATGACTTCGTACTACCGGTTTTGGGATATTGTATATCTATTGATGGTTGTTGTCTATGTATGGCAACTAATGGATCATGTTTAATGGTTAAATGGTTTAAATCAGTTAACAACTCAGCATATGTTAGGCTAATCTAGTTTTAGGGATTAGGTGCCATCACGACATCCTAATATGGGAATTTGGGGTTCTGACACCTAGGGATTCTAGGAGTAGATTTACTTTGATTCGAGCACGAGTTGAGGACAACTACGAGATGGTAAGTAGTCAGCCTCGTACGCGAATCTCTAAGACTAAACCGTTCAAAATAAGGTTCGGAGGAGTGCAAAACATCCCTCGCGTGCTCAGTGTGTAGGATAGCGTATGACCAATACTTGATGGAAAAGCGATGACAGTTGGATAAAGCAGCAAAATAGACATATGGAAAAGAATATACAACTTATAAAATAAGCATGTGGAAAAGATATACAACATGTAGCATGTAAGAAAGAATATACAAATTATAGCATGAAAAACGAACATACAACTTAGGCATGTGATACAAAAATAAAAATTACAATATTGGAGAATCTTTAATCCCTCAAATAATCAATCAAGTACACTGTGGACTAGAACCTGTTAGTCCCCATCGACGTCGCAATGTTGTGCCTATTTTACACAGGTTAAACAAAGTATAACGTACAGAGACATACAAGGTTATATATAATTATGGAGTTGCCGCCTAGTATTTAAAGTGTACTAGAACACCTATATTGACATAAAACAATATAATGATAAACTCTGGTTATGGTCTACGAAAATTGTTGCGGTTCTAACTAAGGGTTCATGTTATCTCAAGGGAAAGTGTTGGGGCTTCCTCAAGATCCACAAAGTATAGTTCTTGGTTGGACTTGATTAATTAAACGAGTGATTATCTAAAAAATGATAAATTATTATTTATAATTATTATGAAAAGAATTTGAACAAAGAAATGATCGATTATGTGATAAATAAATAATATAATCATTTATGGGTATTAAAAAATGCATAATGATAAGGTGTAAAATAATTATAAATTTAAATGATTAAGTATGTAAAAGAATTACACGAATCAAAATAAGAATAAAATATACGAAAGAATTGGTAACTATATTGATTTGATTAGGTGAAATAAATAAGGTAAATGATATAAAATATAAGGGGCTAATATAAAATGACTTTAGAAATATAAAATGATAAAAGTGTTGATCTTACTAGACAATTTATTATCCCGAGGGTATGTATAATATAGTAACAATGCATCTAAAATTAGATGAGACAAGTGTGAGAAACATATCAAGAATGACATGATAGAAAATGTTAAATGATGTAATATACTAATTAGCAAATGGTATATATTAATAAAATATGAATGTAAATAATAACTAATAAATATTATATTAACAAATAAAGGTTATACTTATTAGCAAATGAAACTTCAAGAAAACTAGAATTGATGGAACAAATGTTTAGAAGAAATTCTCTCACGATTTTATATTATTAGCTAAGCCATTAAAGAAGTTATTCACAAATTGACAAGTTTGATAAAATAAAAAAAAAAACATAAGACCAATTAATAATTGTTTACAAGTTCTCGCCTACTCAAGTTAAGCTAGTTAGCTCAAATCAATTAAATGTGTATGAATCGAATTAATCAAACCAATTATGAGAGCGCGTCTAAATGTCTAAGAAGTTTATGTGAACTATTATTAGCTAAGGTAAAACGGCTAAATTTATTATTATTATTATTATCTAAACGTGATATTCTAGGTGTGATCTACTGAGCAAATAAATATCATAAATGAATAAGCAAAAGCGACATTCTAACTAGACTTTTACTATACTTGTATTTGAGTATATACAAGAACGGAAAGTACGAAGCGGGACAAGTTATGGGGGTATGTTTTTGTATTTTTTTCCCTTCGAGTGTCGTCTTTTTAAAGTGACTTTCGAGTAGGGTACCTCACAAAAAGAAAAGTAGATATGTTGGAAAATATGCAAAATAAAATATTAATACTAAATAAAATGGTTTGCTATGGGGGGCTGAAGGAGTAGTAGGAACGCGAGTAGTATGTGGTCCACGACAACAGACTGCATTAGGGAAGCTGCTAAAAAGGTATTAGGGGTCTCGAAGGGGTACTCAGGATGACACAAAGGGGACTAGTGGTGGAATGGAGAGATCCAAGGATAAGTGGAAGCCAAGAAAACGGCATATGTGAAGCTAGTGGAGAGCGCGACGAGGAGGTGAAAAGGACGAATAGAAAGTGTTATAAGAAGGCAAAGAAAGAGGCCAAGTTAACAGTCACGGTAGCTAAAACTGCAGTGTTTCAACGCTTGTATGAGGAACTTGGATGCAAAGGCAGTAATAAGAAACTGTACATGTTAGCAAACTTTTAGAGAGAGGAAGGCTCAGGATCTTAATCAAGTGAGGTGAATCAAAGACGAGGAAGACATGATATTGGTGGAAGAGGCGCGTATCATACATACTTTCATAAACTCTTGAATGAGGGTGGGGACAGTAACATCGTGCTTGGGGAGTTAGAGAATTCAGATAGCCAGCGTGATTTTAGGTTTTTTAGGCGTATTAAGGTTGAGGAGGTGAAAAGGTAGATTAGTAGAGATAAGGCTAATGAGACAGACAAGATAACTCTTGAACAAGAATGGGGACAAGAACATCGTTCTTGGGGAGTTGGAGACTTCAAAAAGCCAGCATGATTTTACGTTTTGTAGGTGTATTAAGGTTGAGGAGGTTGAGGAAGTGACGTGGGAGATGAGTGTAGGTAAGGTGACTGGAAAAAAATAGATACTAGTGGAATTTTGGAAGAGCGCCGATCAGACAGGCTTTGAGAGGCTTACTGGAATGTTTAATGTTATTTTTAGGACGAAGAAGATGCCTAAAGAATGAAGGTGGAGTTAGATGGTCCCATTGTACAAGAACAAAGGTGATGTCCTAAATTGTAATAACTATAGGGGTATCAAGCTGTTGAGTCACACTATAAAAGTTTGGGAGAGAATGGTGGAGAGAAGAGTGAAGAGTGTGTCTATTGCGGAGAACCATTCGGATTCATGCTGGGGTGGTCGACTACAGAAGCCATTCATCTTGTTAGGAGATTGATGGAGCATTATAGGTAGGAAATAAAGACTTACATATGGTATTCATTGACCTAGAAAAATCTTACGACAAAGTCCCGAGGGAAGTTTTATAGAGATATTTGGAGGTAAGCGGTGTTCCGGTAGTATACACTATGGTGATTAAGGACATGTGTCTTGGAGTTAAGACTCGGGTGAGGATTGTGAGAGGAGACTCGAATTAATTTTCAGTTGTGATGGGGTTGCATCATGGATTAACCTTTAGCCCATTTTTATTTGCTCTGATGATGGATGTGCTGACGCAACACATACAAGGAGAGGTGTCATGATGTATGTTATTTGCAAAATACATAGTGATGATTGACGGGATGCATTGTGGGGTTAACTAGGCTAGAGATGTGGAGACAAACCTTGGAGTCTAAAAGTTTCAAGTTGAGTAGGACGAAAACAGAATACTTGGAGTGCAAGTTCAGTGTTGGAACGTATGGAGTAGACGTGGACATGAAGCTTGATACACAAGTCATCCCCAAGAGAGATAGTTTTAAATATCTTGGGTTTGTAATACAAGAAAACGAGGAGATTAACAAGAATGTGACACATCGTATTAGAGCGCGGTTGATGAAATGTAGGCTTGCATCTGGTATTTTATGTGATAAGAATGTGCCACCAAGAGTTAAGAGAAAGTTCTACAAAGTGGTAGTTAGACCGACTATGTTGTATGGAGTCGAGTGTTGGCCAGTTAAAATATTTCATGTCCTGAAGATGGAAGCAGTAGAAATGGGGATATTGAAATATATGTGTGAGCATACTAGGAAAGATAAAATTAGAAATGAAGTTACTAGGGACAAGGTGGGTGTGGCTCTTATGGAAGACAAGTTGTGGAAATCGAGGCTGAGATGGTTCGGGCATGTGAAGAGGAGAGACACTGATGCTTCGGTTAGGAGGTATGAGAGGTTGATCATGGCAAGTTAGAGGAGGGGTAAAGGTAGGCCAAAGAAGTACTGGAGAGAAGTGATTAGGTAAGACATGGCATTGCTTCAACTTACTGAGGACATGACTCTCAATAGAAAGGTGTGGTGGTCGAGAATTAGGGTTATGAGTTAATAGGTAGTCGAGAGTTTCTCCTAGTCCTACCAATAATATTAGTACTAGTCTTATATTTTTCAATTCCTAGATCTTTGTTGTTATATGATGTGTCATTCTTATCAGTAGTATTAGTATTTTGTTTTGTATTTTCTTAAACCTAGATCTTTATTATTACACGTTGTGCCATTTACTTCCGTTGTCCTATTACCTTGTTGTTGCTATTGTTTATTGCTTCCTTTCTACTGTTCTGCCGAGGATCTATCGAAAATAGACTCTTTATCTTCTTAAGGTAGGGATAAGGTCTGCATACATACTATCCTCCCAGACCCCAATTGTGAGATTACACTAGGTTTGTTGTTGTTGGTGGTTTACTTTTGAAAAGATTTTTGAAAATATATTTGAAAATATTTTTGGGAGGCTCGGATAATATATGTCGTAACAAATAAATATTGGTTTGACCAAAAAGTGTAATTTCCAGTTCAACTATTTAATTTATATAATGAGGGGTTAAATCTAGTTAAGGATAATAACTCTAGATACTAATCTCTAAAACATGCAGTAAGGGGGACATATCCCGTAAATAGTTTATGACAACAAGTGCAGAATATTCTTAAAGAATGAACATTGATGGAGATATAACTAACAATAAATGGCAATAAATGACATTTAAGTAAATAAAGAGAATGATTCACCCAATAATGGATGGGTTGAGTGAATGTTTCTCCTGACAACGATGAGTGACCGATAGGTCCAAGATTCGTATGAAAAATCCTCGGATCTGGTAGAAAGGTGGAGAATAATATTAACATGAATCTTTATCAAAAGGTAGTCTTTGTAATCTTGCAAGAGAGAGAATCTTCTGATCAAAAGTGTTCTTATCAAAATGAATATTACATGCCTCTATCATTGTCTCTTCTTTTTATATATATAGGGCCTTTTCCTAGGAAACTCTAATAGTACAAATAAAGGGAATATCCACTAGAATATTCCCTCTTAATATCCTATCCTGACAAATTAGCCGTTACAAGTCTTATCATCAATAGCCAATCTCGACCTCGACCCTTGTTGACATTTCGGCTACTACTCCTATCGACATCTCGATTACAACTCATGTCACCACCTCGGCCAATGACTTTGCTGCATCTTGGGCAAGCTCGACAGACTCTTTTCTTAATGCCATATTACACTAAATTTCCTAGGGACGAATTTTGGCCTATATAGTTAGTTCCTTCGCTTATTAAGGCCGATGCCAGAAGGCCTTAATGAGCGGACTCTGTATAACGTGACCAAAGTGTTTAGATAAGATGGATGAACCGTAGTGATTAGGGGCGAGTAAGCGGCATGTCCTATTGTAAACCGTAAGTTCTGGGGTCGCAAATCCCGCGAATCAAGATGATGTCATGGCGGCTGACGTCACTATGGTGCAATTTCCCTAGACGCTACTTCGCTTCGCACGCGTTGATAGAGCCTACTGCTTCGGTTATAGTGTCACGCAATGATGGTCAATTGTTTGGTTTTGATGCCTATATCTTTATAAATAAGGGTGTGTAGGTAACGTCTTAACATTTACGAAACTTCTTGTACCCAGCAAACTTTGCATCTTCTTCTTCCTCCATTGTTTGAAATTCCTTAGTTGTTTTAGTGATTCTCACTGCTTTTAACCCTTCTGTGCTTAAAATAATTTTTCTCAAAAATATAGTTAACGTACCTTCTAGTTCCGGTATGGCGGCTTACCCTACCCCTTTGGCGGTACGTATGCCTCCTCACGGCGAAGGTGTTTCTATCGCCCTTGAAGATGAGAGGTTTCCTACGGTGGAGGAAATAATTTCTCGCAGTGAAAAGACTAGATCTGACTTTTCAAAGTTGCCTGAAGACGATCCTGAGGCCTCAGAGTCGATGATGAATGAGGTCAACCTCACTGAGTTTAGGGAAAAGTTCAAAATTCAGCTCACATCGATCTGATTCCGGTGGGGCGCGATGTGGTATAGATACATCTCCTAGGATATTGCACGTTCTATGTGTATCCATTCTATGTAGGCTATTCCTTTCCTCTTCTCCCATTGGCGGAGGAATTCTGCTGCTACTACGGCATTTGCCCGGCCCAACTCTCCCTTTACATCTACAAGCTTATCTGTATTTTGATAAAATATGCAGAGTTGGTTGGCCGTGGGGTCTAACTTCGCCACCTGATGCATCTTTTTGTCCCTAGTTTCTATAGGGGGGCGATGCTGCACCTTCTCCACTGAGGAAGTAAACGTTTGGTGGTGAAAATGGACGATAAGGCAAATCATGAGTTCTGGCTCAACTACTTCTTCGTCAAGACCGAGGATGTGGTGATCAACGCGAACTGATTCCCTGAGGCTTGGAATTACGCCAGTAAGTATCTTTTTGCCACGTATTTGTTTTGCTTGTTTTAGTCGTAGTCTAACATTCCGCCCCTTCTTCGCACAGTCGAGACTTTGCCCCCTCCTTTGGTCGGGGACATTCATGACTGGATCAGCCAGATCTTGCCTCACACAGTGGGGATTCGTGAATAGCCGACTTTTATCAAGGAATTCGAGCCCACGCCTTCAATGACCAGTGCGTTCATCTATATGTATTTATCTATACATTTATTATCTTTTATCCATACCGTTTTGAGCTTATGGTCGCCTGCTCATTACGGTTTTATACAAGAAGTGACAGTCTTTTAATTTTGTTTTTCAGCCCGAGGATCTTCGAGAAAGCCGAGGGCTCCTGCTCCAGTATTCCGCAAAAGGAAAACGGTTTCTATTCCTTGTGCCGCTGTGAGGTATGCTCAGTCGTCGACTACGCCTGTAGCAGAACTCTTGACTTCCCCCTCTACATCATCTACTAGACAAGGAAGAAGAGGAGGAATCATCGCCGAATGGTGATAACTTGCTTCCTAGTAAGAGGCAATATGTAGATGTCGGTGAAGGAGTTGTCTGTGTGGGGAGTTTGGTGATGGAGGATTTCATCGTCTGAGAAAAGATGACCATAGAACTTGGAGATGACGCCGAGTTACCGCCCATGATTTTGCTGTCACCGGGAGCCGAGGAGGGTACGTCTCTCTCTGAGGCCGTGATGGATTTTGAAGGGCCGTCGGTGAGGGTCCCCGACATCTTACGGTAGGATGAGCCATCAGCCTCGCTACCAGTTGAGGATCCTTTTTCCAGGGTCGACACAAAAGGAAAAAGCGTAGCCGAAGAAGGTTACGAGACGAGATTCGATATGGATGTCGAGGAAGTGAGGATGATGGGGAAAGGACTTACCCGACTTGAGGTGATATTAGAGGGGACCACGCAGACTATTGCGATCCCCTTGGACCAGGATTTGTTGGTAAATATGGAGGACGTGGTCCCTTCTCTTGGTCCCCTCTGTTCCGATGTTGAGGGTAAAACCCTTGAAAAGCTAAAGGATGCCACTTTATCGAGGAGTATAGCCGGCCTAGCTCTTAGGGTAAGCCTTTTGATCTCTCTCCATTTTTTTTGTGGTGAGATCAAAGTTTAGCTCTTACTCCTTGTTCTCTGTCTTTCTTTCAGGCCGTAATTTTGGAGATCGAAGCGCCCGATGGGAGGAGAGGCGTAAGGCCATTTTTTAGAAGATAGAGTGGAAATATCGCAAATACCATGATAAGCACCGTGAGATTCGAAGGCAATTTGGTGGGAGCGGCAATTTTCGGGCTCTCCGAGATGAACTGAAAGAGAAGGATGACGAGTTGGTAAGGGTCACCAGAAAATGCAGCGTCCTCGAGGGGGCATTGAGGGACAAAGAAGAAGAGCTTGAGGTAAGCAAAGGGGTTGAGGCCCAATGCGCCGATTTTCAAGCCCAGGTGGTTTCGTTGCGTGCCGAGCTCGAGGAGTGTCAACTCAAAGTGGATGCTCTAAGTGGCGAGGTTACTGATAAGGCGGCGGTCTTAGAAAAAATGGAGTTTCTCAATTGTTATATGCGAGGAGAGCGGAGGCTTTTTCAATCGAGATCCTCGTTCTTCATTCTGAGCGGGAGAGTGCTTTAGAGATAGCCAGGCTCAGAGAGGAGTGTCTTGATGAGCCGATAGGGGAACTGGAGAAAGAGGCTTCAAGCCTTAGTGATTGGGTTGCTGTTCTCGAGGCCGAGAAGGCGCAGTTGTTGGCTCAACTGTCCTCTTCCCACACTTCTACTTTTCCTGATGTTCTGCGGGATTTATACGAGAAATGGATTCACGCCGAGGCCCAGTTGAATATATTCAGGGATCTGATGGGGGTGGGGGCTATTTCAGAAGCCGACTTCGAGGATGCTCGTGCTAAGGCACATATATATCGGTTTGCTTATAGCTACAATCCCGCCACACCAGAAGTCGAAGACGAAAAGGAGGGTGCGGGCGTGGATCGGATTGAACAGGACGCCTGGTACGAGGATGAATATCCTGCTGGCGATGGCGATGAGGTAGGTGGAGATGATCTAGATGATCAAGCTGGTGGTGTTGCTGGGTCAGGTGGTGATTAGTTGTTCTTTTGTTTTTGTTTAGCCGCAGACTTGTGTGTACCTTTTGTAGGTGTGTATTTGAGCCTTTGTAAAAAATATTCTAAGTATGAAGTGTTAATTTTGTTATTCGTACCTGATTCCTTTTCTTTGTTCGGGTTTGTGCGCCTTTTTTATTTTGTTGCTTGGTTGCCTTTGTCATAATAAATTTGTTTGAGTAGGTTGAACGAGGTTGAAACGAAGCCTAGGTTTGATTGTGGCCGAGGGCCAGTAGGTGTTTGTTCGATGTCGAACATGTCGCATATTTAGTTAAGACCGTGGGCCGATTATATGTTAATTCGAACAAGGTCGAATGTAACCTTTATTTATTTAAGGTCGTGAGCCAAGTAGGTATCAATTCAAACAAGGTCAAATGTAACCTTTAA